AATTAGGTCAATTTATTTACATTTTTAAAATTTCAATTTTTTCTTTACTAAGTAAAAGAAGTAGTCAACTTTTTGTGTTACATGTACATCAGCAATCAGTATTGACATTTAATTTGCTCAGTTGCATCCAGCACAACGAAAACACAACTCACCAGGAAATGCAAGCACCTTTGTAATGCACAGCCCAAGACTGCATCTTGAATCTGCTGTTTAATGTTACATCTTTATGGTAACTACATTGAACTCTACAGAGTTCTCCATTCCACAGGAGTTAGTCAATTTGATAAGAGTTCTTTGGAGGAATACTGAATCCATTAAATTATTGAGTAAAAACATGAAATATCTTTTTTTCTCATGAATTATTACATACATTTTCTACAATGAGCTAAACATGGCGATGTGACTTATATACATTATTCATGATTTTCCTGTGGATTCAGCAAGATGGATATTATCACTATTCAGAGAAAAGAAACATATTTAGGAAGGTTTTTACATGACTTGCAAAATGTTTCCAAGCTTTTCAGTTACATAGTCAGGCCATATTTGGATCTGCCTGACTACTTCACTGAGTTCCCCCCCCCCCCCCCGCTTCTCGCAAGTGCATGCCACTCTTTATAGTACCATTTTATCTCCTGCTCACTCCCTTATAATTCCATCTGTCTTAAAGCCTACAAATAGTGAGCTGGTGGTAGATTGGGATAATTGTAAAGAAAGAATTGAGTGCTCTTTCATATCTCTCCTAAAGTTGCATGGTTTTTCTAGTTCCCAACAGTGTGCCTCAGCATCCAAAAAAAGAGTCGGCTCCCTACAGTGTCAGACTGTATCTTTCTGTCTCTAACCTTCCCATGGGTTCAGGGAACAGATTTTTCAAGTCCCAAATAAGGGCATCTAGGCCAAACATGAGGCCAGCACATTTACAAGCAAGGCTTAAAAGTATTTCTGGTGACTAGGAAAAAAAAAAAAAAAAAAAAAAAAGAGCTTCAGAGTCAGGCTGGCTCAAGCAGACTAGTTGATTACTTGCCCGAAGGCCGATCCCATAAAGAGAGTAAGGCACAAAGTTAATCAGTCTTTATCAGTGGAATTCAACAAGGCAGTCTTTCTGACAGCTCCTTTGTCATAGTCTTAGTATAGGCTTCCTGCATTATGTGGTTTACCAATATGCAAGTACTTGTTTTGGTAGAAGGCTGTGGATTCTAAGAGACAAGCTATTAATTCTGAGTTCTGATATCAGGCTAGAAGATGCCTATAGAGATTACAACTGGTTTCCTTTTTCTCTAGTAATTAGCAGTCTAGCCAAAGAGAGATCAATTATGACTGGGGAGCAGAAGAGAGCAATAAATGCATGACTGAGACCAGTTGCCTTACCGAGCCATTTCACATTCTCCAGGCTGTAAATCTCTCAGCAGAAGGCAGAAGGCAAAATAGCTGTAATCCGTTTAGTGCCACTAAAACCTTGAAGACTTGGAGGAGGAAATCCAAAGAAACAACAGACCTGATATATTCTTTCACTGCTGTTTCTTAATAGGCAAAGGTAGTTAAACAATAAGAAAAAGCCCTCGTAATGATCCCGATGCACTGTGCCACAGGTCAGGGTTGGACTTGATGAAATGTACAAAGGTCTAACCCACAAATGGTGGGAAAATGCCCCTTCTTCTCCACTCTGCCCTACAGGTAGCTAATCAATGCCCATGTCTCACCTGCAGATTGCTCTGTGAGACAAGCCTAACAGTCCGGAGCATTCGTTAGGGCATTCATTTATATCTGTTGTTTTCTAATCAGTCTAGGGACTAGGACCAATGGCCAAGTACCAGAATGGCATCAAAAGGAGAAAGAATTAGAGAAGGTTTCTCACTCTATATTGGAAGTATGGCTCTCAATTTCAAAATTTTCAATTGCAGACCCAACTAGATGTTTAGTTTACAAGATTTCTTTGCATATACAGAAAACCACATATATTTAGCTTGAATATAGATTTTGCAAACCTAATGAGAATAGACTTAACTGACCACTAAGGGAAGTGGGTTTTGTATGCCAAGGATAAAACACAGCATCAGACTCTTCCGGACAATGGTTATGGTACCGATGCTGTGTGTGAGTTTTAAGAGTAAGTTTGCAGGCGGTAGATCGGTAGATCGCTACAGTCCTGGTGAGAGGATTGGTGGTGAGCTCTTTGGCTTTGGTTCCTGATATGCACCGAAAGAATTTTAGACCCGCAACTCCTCCATAACCCCGCTCTGGGATTGGAGGTTGAGGTGTTGGAAGCAGCTTCCGGGGTGCCCTGGACGGAGGTGGGGAGGGGCTGCCGCTCTCCCAGCCTTGCGGACCCTGGGGTGGGCTGTATGAGAGCAACTAGTCTGCTTGCTACTGAGGCTGCTTCTCGGGGGCCCGCTTCAGGTCTCCGTCCCCAGGGAACTACCCAGGCTCCTACTCCAGGTCCCCGGAGGGGTCCCAGCATCAGTTCAGCTACTCCCCAGGGCAGCAGCAGACCTACCTCCACATAAAGACAAGAGCTAGCATCTGCAGAGCTCTTACTGTAATGGCAGGTGTGATACTAAAATTGCCTTTACTTGGACTATTTAATCCTCTGCGAGGTGACATACTAAATTGGGCCAATTTTGCAGATGAGTGCACTGAGGTGTAAAGAAATTAAGATTACCATAAGTGGCGGGACTATAGTTCTCTGTTCCACACAATTTTTTTTTTTTTTTAGCCAGTATACCCTATTCGTATATAAACTTACTTAATCCTCCATGTTTTTTTTTTCCCCCTACAGATTTTTTGTCAGTTATTGTCAGTAAATAATCTTGAATTCCTAGGGGGAGGACAGTGACTGATTTCCTACTGTTGTATGGTTCCTCTAGACTGTACTCTATGGCCATTTTCCTACAGTTGTCCTTCCCTCGGTTTTGCTTTCTTGCTCTTTTTATTTACTCGTTATCATTTTTTTCAGGCTATATTTACATTCACTTCAAGTTCTCTTGAAGGGAAATCGAGAATCGCAGATTGTGGAGATTTCCCTTTTCAGTAAATGCAAGGCAATCAGTAACTCTTTGGCTAACAACTTGGATCTATGGTGCTTGCAAACTTGAATATGTTCACTGAGCTGAATCCCTTTGAGCTGGAGTTAATAAGTACAGGAAATTTTCATGTGATATAAAAGTTCTAGAATTTTAAAACCTATCAGGTTAAAAAATAGGTTTCCAGGAAAAAGTGACTACAATTAATTGAAACACTACTTGTACTGGATTTATTTGCATTTAATAGCTGTGTCATTATCATATTAGAAGCTGAAAAGTGTTTAAGGTAATAGCAAACTTTTTAAAAAGAAATGTGGTAATTTTAGTAATTTTTGTTTGTTTGTTTTGTCCTTTTCTGACAGGGTTTTTGTCTGTGTACCCTTGGCTGTCCTGAACTTCTTTGTAGATCAGGCTGTCCTCGAACTCACAATGATCTTCCTGCCTCTGCCTTCCTGAGTGCTCGAATTAAAGGTGTGTGCCACCATGCCCAGCTAGTTTTATCAATTCTTAAAAGCAGTAGATTAAAGAAAACAAGAAATTTGCAACTGAATATATTGACTTTCAATTGACAACTTTTAATATCCACTAATATTTAACTCAGAGAAAGTACCAATTATGTCTATTAGACCTTTTGTTTTAACTGATGATTTTTTTTTCCTAAAGGGTTCTCCAAGGACATCTACACCATTTGGATCAGGGCGTCATAGAGAAAAAAGAATGTCTAATGAGTTGGAAAGTTGTTTTAAGCCTTCAATCCTTGAAGACACTTGGGCTGGCCTAGAACCAGTATCTGTATAGCAATACGCAAACATTCACAGGCAAAAAAGAAAGATGCTTTTCCTAACATTTCTGAGATTCAGCTGGAAGCCTCATGTGTCAGGAACACCTTGGACAGAACTTTTAGCTGAGCCCAAAGGTGATGAATTTTCATAATGATTACTATATCTCAAGTGTTGTTGGTACTAGAGAAGATGACAGGATAATGTGAAGTATTTAGCTATCTGGGAGCGTGTACCACATTCAGAGCACAGTTGTCCTATATAACATTTCCAAGATAACAGACGCGGTTTTTTTCAATGTTTTAAAAGAAAACGCTTTGTCTTCTTAAAAAAAAAAAAAAAAAGAGTAGATTTGCATCTGTGCTTATTTCCATTTAACAATAATCTTATGTCCTTTATGCATACGAAATACAGTGTCTGGTTTACTGTGAAGTTCTACATGTCCCAATACTTTCTGACCCACTTCTACATTAAGCAAGTGCTTCTTTTTTATTTCTTTGACTCTTACCCTCAGGATCAACTGCATCTCTCTGAGTAAAGCCGGTAAGGTTAGGCTATAAGGTGGAGGTTTTGATATTTTTTTGTTTTTTCTTTGCAGAAGCAGCTGAACTACTTGAGGATCAAATCTCTAATTACGTAGTAGAAAACTGAATTCTCAAACCTTAATTCTCTAATCCAATTTTCATTCATTTTCTATTTGACTGCCTTCTAATTAAGCTTGTGATCTCACCGGGCTGGTGCTATGTTTATATGTCTGTTTCATTCAATGTCAACCAATCTGTTCTTGCTCAATGAATCATTGCTGATAACAAAGACAAAAAAATCCAACTTAAAAAATGATAACCATTCTGGGAATGTATTGTTTTACTTCTCTAGAGTAATTATAAAACAAGGGTTTCGTAGGTAAAAATACCCTTTCTTCCCACATCTTTTTTTCATCCATTTCTACAGTTTTATAGTAGAAAGCTGAATACTAACAAACAATGACAATAAAAGCTCTTGCTGTTAAAAGGACTGAGAACAAAGCACTTCCATCTCAGAGCAATTTATACATTATAATTTGTAGTCTTTGTTTTACTTGTTTCAATAAGTGCCAGTTCTGACCAGTTCGGAGGAATCATAAAATGTATGTTTCCTTCTTCCTCCCCCTTTTTTTTGGGGGGGGGGATGAGTAGAAAGTACCTGAATTTTCCTGACTTACCCTGAGTGGATTTTCATTAAGGTAAGGGGGTTCACCTTCCACCATTTCAATGGCCATGATTCCCAGAGACCAGATATCAACCTTTGGTCCATAAGCTTTTCGAGTTACCACCTCAGGTGCCATCCAATAGGGAGTTCCCACCATAGTGCTTCGTTTACTTTGCTCGGGAGTGATTTGGGCACAGAACCCGAAATCAGCTATAGAGAAGAAAAATCTATTAAAATGAGCCCAAATAATTTTTGCAATAGTTTATATCCCCATGTTGGTGAACTTTCTTGTAATGTTAAAATGAGTTCTCACAATTGCTTAGCTCATATCCTGATACTTTCTTGACCTCTAAGATAGTTCTGATTTCAAAGGGGTCTGAACCAATGGAAAGTGATGGCATTTTCAGTAGGCTTCCATATAGTTTCCTCCCATTATTTTCTTATATGTTTACAGGACTTTTCCATCCATCCATTATGGATGCCACTAGAAAATCTGAAATATTAATTTCCAATAAATCTTGTCCCAATCTCTAGTAAGAGATTATCAGACAGATTTTTTAATTCAAATTAAGCTCAATTTTTTTAAATAAATCATTTTTAGTAGCCATTATCTTCTCAAGATAGACAGTAGAACAGCTGAAATTCCCTAATACTTTCTTTTTTTTTTTCATGTTATAGTAAGTCTTTATATATTTGGTTGATTGAACTTAAGGAGACCATATCTTATATAGCACATTTTTTTTTCTTTTGGAAATTCTAACATCATATTTATTTTATTATTAATTATTAGTATTTTCTTAAACATCTGAATCAAAATACCTACTCAATTTAACAGAACCATCCATCCCGAGAAGAATATTGTCACTCTTTATGTCTCTATGGATCACTTGGTTTGAGTGTAAGAAATCCAAAGCTTGGAGGCACTATTGGATCAGAAAAAAAAGTTCTAATTATATCACCAAAAAAAATTTTTTTTAATTCTACATCTCCAGGAAAATTTTGGGAAGGGTTGAGATTTTATATTGTTAAGTGAAATTGAATACTGAATGCTTTAACACCATTTTCAAACCACATTACTATTTACAACAGTAATGATACTTAATCTTATGTATGAAAGCTCCCATGCAACATTATAGACTAAACCACAAAGAGGATGATGCAATGAACAATACTAGTCATTACTACAGTACATTTGACCAGTTAACGTAATCATGCTTTGTCTAGTTTTCTAGATGGTATGGATTGAAAGGCATCCAGTTCTAAAGTAACTAAATGTACTTGTTTGGAAATGTCTTTGTTTGTATTACTGAAATATACAATATGCAGGCTCAAGTAGACTATCCTACTAAGTGAATATCAACTTGATTTATGACATAGGAGGAAACATGATTTGTTGCTTTATCTCTATGTTTTGAGTAGGAGAAGTGGGAATGAGGAAGGGCAAAGAATGAGGAAATTGAAAAGAACCATGTAAACAGAAAAATTAGCTACTGTTACTTAGATTGGTTATACTATCATTAGTTTTCAAGTTTCCATTTCACTTTGTAGAAAATTTCACAATGAGACTCACTGAAAAGTGTATGTTGTAAAAACAATATTGATCAAAATAATAGAATAAAATATCACTGAATCGTCTAGAAGCTAAACTCACTAGCTCTTATCTCTTTTTATAAATAACAGCTTTTCAGGCCCACTGGAGGCCTATAAGGAATATTCACAGAATACTGTGAAAACAATTACTTTCTGTGGTTAGGGAAATCTATGTTTAAATTGATTTCTAGGGCCTGTGAGAGGGCTGAACAGGTCACAGCACTTGATGCCATGCTTTACAATTTGAGCTCAATTCCCAGGACCCACAGGATTGAAGTAGAGAACTGAATCTCAAAGGTTGTTCTCTGATATCCATACGTGCACATATTACAGTAACATGCATGCACGCCACACACACACACAGACACACACACCCTTTGTTGCTACGTTTCACAATTTGTGCTCAATTTCCAGTAGAGAACTGGGTCTCAAAGGTTGTATTTTGGTATCTGGTATCTACATGTACACACAGTACACCCCCACAAATGCACGCACACACACACACACACACACACACACACACATAACCCAAATAAATGTATTAAAATAGAAAAAATAGCATTCTATATAATATGGGAACATTATATAGTCTGTATTTTATGGAGCTCATATTTAACATGCAGAACACAATAATTATGTTATAAAATTCCCACAGATAATAAAGGCATTCCATGTGAACATCACAATTGGCCATGCTCATTGGCATGACTACATATAAACATAGGTACATCGGTACTTAAAAGGCCACAAAGAGGCAACTAAATAATAGTCTGGCAAAAAGTAATACAAGTACATGGCACTACGTTACAGTTTAATGTTATTTTGATGTTAGGAATATTCTCAATAACCAATAAGAGAGAATCAGCAAGAAACATTCTCTTTTCTTACCTCTCTACAGACTGCTGCTATTTGTCCTTCATCCATACAGGTTTCTGTGACCACATCAGTCAAAGAGCCACCAGCCAAGTATTCCATGACTACCCACAGTTCATCACCCACCAAGTAGCTGTAAGAAAAGAAAATTTCTCTGACTTTGAACTAAGAAAGCAGGGACTCTAATATTCTTAGGCCTTTTTTGTGATGAAAATCGATTGTAAAGAGGAGTATACCCATTATCTTTAAGTGATTATTGAGGAACAAACTCTAATGCTCAAATATAGGAACTAAGATCACTGCATAGCCTCGCCATTCAGGAAAAGAGTAAGAGATTGTTCAAATCAATTAACAACATGTTATTACAGAGAAGAATGACCTCATTGATTCCACCCTGCCTACATACCCATGTCACTAAGCCTGGCATGGTGGCACACATCTGTAATCCCACCTACTTGGGAAGATAAAGCATGACAGTTCTGAGTTTAAGGCTAACCTTGGGCATATGATAAGTTTGAGGACATCCTGAGCTACAGGGATATTTGAAGAAAAAAACAAAACAAAACAAAAGCCTACCTCACTATGCAGTAAGACTTTTCCATTGTGTGCTGCTAAAAATATATAGTACTTTTGGATTCCACTAGGCAAGTCTCTTAAAATTCAAAATTTACAGGTTCCATTTTCATTAGTTATAGACAAAAGCCTAGAAATCAGCCCTTTTAAAAAGTACAAATGTAAGTTTTACAAAACTATAAATGTAGAAATATAATTCATGTCACATTGCTGCAGGTGGGCCATGAAAGACATTGAAAGAAACACTGATTACAGCTTTCAAATTCAGTTGTCCTTTTATATCTCATTTTCTTACCATATCATTGTCTATTGGCCTAACACAGACAGCAAGCCCTTCAGTTCATGGAGGCTCAGACCTAGCCTTATGTCCTTTGCATCCCATCAGAGAACTCAGCAAAGTGGTATTAAGAGACAATGACTGAAACTCGAAGAGACAGATGGTAACCACAAGAGAAGAGTTAGCACAGTCTTTAAGTGCCTATTTGTAACTTGTTCTTAGTACTACTGATGAAAGAGGCATTAATTACCTGCTTTAAGAGAAAGGTTTAAGATTAATGCCTCAGTTCCCTCAACCTCATTGTCAGTTAATCATGAAGCACCCATTAAAGTTGGGCTATTTTTGTCTGCCTTCTTTACTCAGCTTCCTAGGAATCATATGGTTCCAAATAGAGACCTGATGAAATGTTTAAAACACCACTGATTTCTCTTATATGCAGGAGTCTATTTCCTGTCATCATGGAGCCATCCTCCTCAAAAGAAATCATACAAACTACTTATGTTTACAGCCAAGTTTATAAAACACATTTTAAAGCATTTGATGGGTAGACAAAGATTTACTCTATTACTTTTTATCATTTCAGAAATATTTGTAAATGGTTATTAAAGGAATAAATTCCCAATAAACAATCTAACAAGAACCTCTTTGGAAGAAAATATGTAAATAATAAGAGAAAACACTTACCTATCTAAATAATTAACAATGTTGGGGTTCTTATTTTCCCTCATGACAAGAATTTCATTAATAATTAATTCCTTTTTGGGTTGCTGTTGAAGATTCATTTGCTTTATGGCCACCTGAATGATGAATAAAATATAAGAACAAATTATGACTATTAAAATATACGTGAAAATAAATGTACAAATTCTTTATCTGCTATTTTTTCTGGTCTACAATCATCATTAACTGTATTTCAGATGTTCAGCACACCAACAAATTAATCTTGCATCAAAACCTAGTGCTACACACTAGACATACACTATTAACAAGAAAACTTGATAAATATAAAGGAAACTAATAAAGACAGGGTAGTATCACATACTTCTTGTCCAGTTGCAATGTCTAGTGCTGTGTAAACAGTACCTGATGCCCTGGAAAACAACAACAACAAAACACCCAATGAATAAATAACCCATACATTACTGATAATCCCCATGTATTAAAACGTGATTCATTTTCAGGTGAGATAAGTTACCAAGATTAAGATTCAGTGATGAGGTAATACAGAACCAGTTTCTTAACAATTATTGTACTAAGAACACTTACACTAGATCTACTCTCTTAACAAAGTCATAAGTGCATAGTATTGAAACAGCTTCCTTGTATAGTAATTACATCAGAAACAATCACAATGAATCCTTTGTGCCAGACTAGGACCTCTCATTAGACTTTCTGGCACCAGTTCCTGGGTTCTGCACTATGTGCTCATGAATTTAGCATACTGACCTTGGTCTTCTTAATGAAGCCCTGTAATATTGTTAATATTCTTTACATATTAAAATAACCAACACTGAAGGCATTTGATTAAACTGAAGAAATTTTCAGAAAATAGATCATCTTTTGCTTAGGCAACTGTAACTCAACCGTTCTTGTTAGCATATGGATAAAGTAGCTATATTATGTGTCTCTAACCCTTCGTTTAATGAATCATTAACTTTCAGTACTATGTCAGTGCTGTACCTACATAAAGGAATAACACTGTGGCTCTTCTGTTTTTATTTTTCTCTTTGCAAAAATTTTCAACAATTCCTGTGAGTTTTCACTCCTATGAAATACCTATTTTTTTAACCTATCATCCCTTAAATCTTTGTAGTATTTATGCTTCTATTTTAACTGTTAGTATAGCTCCTTTGTTCAGCTGAATTTCTACTATTTTTCTGTGAATTACACCTGTTTTCTGAAAATCTTCCCATTGTAATCTCCAGATGAGGAAGTAAGCATTTCATGGTGGCAAGCAAAACAGAGAGGATAGAAATCTGTCCAGTGATTCATTTCCTAGATATTATAACACTCCAAGATTTAGGTTTAGTTTAGGGAATATTATCTCTCTCTCTCTCTCTCTCTCTCTCTCTCTCTCTCTCTCTCCCTCTCTCTGTGTGTGTGTGTGCATTTGTCTGTCTGTCTGTCCATCTGTATCTCTCTGTCTCTTTCTTGCCCCTATGTAACCCAGGATGGTCTTGCTGTGATCTTTTAACTTTAGGCTCCTAAATATTGGGATTACAGTCATGAGCCATAACTCCAGGTTTAGGAACTGTTTTCTTATGTCTTTTATGACTCTTCTCCCTGAATGAACCACTATATTGCTCAAAAGCCTGTGGATAGTGCAAATTAAGAAGTATTTGACTAATAGCAGAGATTTAAGACTGCTTTAAAGTGACAATTCGTGAAATGCTGGGCTAATAATTTCCTTTCACTGAATTTCAGTCCCCTCAGAAAGAAAGCAGTGACCACAGTAACAGTGTGTACTGAATGTTTTCTGTGTGTCAGGCACAGCGCTGAGAAGTTTATATACTGGATTTTAGGTGATCCTTCCCTATATTTACATATAGGGCAGCTATATGATTCTCTTGTCATAAATCAGGAACCTGAATGTCAGAAAGGTTGAGTAACCTTCCCAGGCTATACAATATACCAACCACATTCTGCTTCACTTTAAAATTAGTTTTTGAAACGAGGCTAAACATTAAACTTACTCTCTAGATGGTACTGAATGAGCACGTGGTAATTCTCAATATGTTTTATGCTTATATCAAACCAATCTGTTTTCCTTATTGTATATTTTTAGATTCAGAACTTATAGATGATGTCTTATAAATACTTGTTGAATGAACACGTTAGCAAAAATATTCGTAAGCAAATATTCAATTGTAACAAGACCTTTCCTTCCAATAAAGAACGTATTTTATCTAACTGAATCTTCATGAGACACTTCCTTCTTGGAATAAGTGATCAGACATTCCTGCGTTGGGAACCAATGTGTGATTTGTCCTTTTGAACTCAGAATTAGGTTAAATTCAAAGGGATATATTGCTTCAGTCTTGTGTGGATTTTGGCATCAATAAGCCGCAAGAAGCTCTTCAAACCAAATTGCAAACTATGTTTTAAAAATCTTTATTTGGGTATTTGCAGATATTTAAAGCAGTTGCCTACATTCAGATGCAGAAGAATAACAGTATTTGTAAAGTGAGACATTAGCAATTCCTCTTTTAGGACTTCAGAATATCAAATGACACAGCCTAAGAAAGCATTTGGCCCTGAGCCCAAATCAGTGCTGAAGCTTAATATGGTCACTGGTGTTATTATTCCTTATTGCTGCTGCAGGTATTCATTTCACAGCAGAGAGCTGATTTACTGACTCTTGGTTGCCCCCCCCCAACACACACACACAATGTCCCAACCCTATCAACCTTGCTAGCATATCTTTACCTTTCAAAAGCAGGGTTTTAAGGGTGATCTGTTGGAACACTCTGTAAGGATTTTTTTTTAAGTGTCTCTCCCTGAAGAAATGGTTTTGTATTTTTTATCTCTCCCTCTCTTTCTCGCTCTGTTTCTCTCTCTCTGTCTCTCTCTCACTCTTTAAGCTTAGAACAGATCAAATAAAAATCACACAGAGGGACTTACAATACATAAAATAAGTAAGGCGGGATCCAGTCTAGTTAAAGCTAGGGTGACAAAAGGCTAACACACAGGCTACTTTTCCCTTCTCCATGGTTGTTCCTCCAACCAGTGAGGCCCATTACCACTGCCTTAGGGAATTAAACTGGTTTTTGGGAAGTTCAAGGGGGGCTAGTATTTACCTTCTTTAAAGATTCACTTTTAAATGCTTTTTCTTTCTTTTCTTTCCTTTCCTTTTCTTTTATTTTCTCTCTTTTCTTTTCTGTTTTGTCCCTCCATTTCCTTCAGCATTTTATTGTCTTTAAATTGCTAGAGCCTTAATCCTGAAACTCCAATATCCAAGTACATACAATACCCACTGGTGTAGACTTGCTACAAATACACAGATGTAAAGGCCCTGAAATTCTACAGCACAGGTTAGTAAATAAATATGAATGTTTCATCCTCATTTGTCTTTCTTCCACTTTACTGGACACATGCAATTGTTCAGTGGCAGATATTTTTCCCTTCCTCCTCACTTTTGTTCTGTATTAACAGGGGTTTATATGAGTCTCCTGACCCAAACCAAACATTTTATTAGGTAGAGAACCTCACTGTACTGATCAGTTACTATTTTAAGCAATTTCTCTATGGAACCTTTAGCTAAAAATACACACATTCCAATCTTGTACAGAAAATCTTAGTACCTTATTGCCCACTCTATGATAGCATAACTAACATTTCACTGAACCCCAAGTCTCTTGTATTTGTTTACACTTCAAGAAACTCAGAAACTCAGTTACATGGCAGTTTTGTTTTTCTCCAAGAGATCTCAATATCTTCAAGATTCATCCATGAAATCGCTTTCATTGCCCACCACTGGGCTGAAGAAAGATTACTCAGACCTATTCATTCTTACCTCACCTGTTTTGAATCCTACTATTGTCTAGTTGGTGACTCTGTGACTTACCTTCAAATGTGGATTAAATGTATGAAAGTCTTAAAAGGCATACAGCTCTGGCACATAATTGCCAAATAGCTCTTGATAATTATTGTTTTTTTGGTTGCTTTCTAATGTAACGTCTAGTTTTCCAATTGTAGTCTATAGATGACTAGGAACATCTTTACATATCTGAAGCTTTCAAGATACTTAATGTTTCAAAATTAATAATAGAAATTCAATATCTCCCTAAAATAGTGGTAATTCAAATAACACATTAATTTTCTTTCTTGGCCAAATGTATCATAATGTCACTGTTGAATATCACATACTGATTCAAAATCTCTAAGTACTAGTAATATGCAATTATTGTGCTTAATAGAGTATACAAATTTAACTATTAATAAATACAGTTCAAGATCAAGATTACATAGCCTAGTTCACAGAAATAAGTAACAAGTCATTAATTTGTAGTTGGTTTGTAGGTCGTAAAACTGAACAATCTTCACTTTGCAATATTTGAAGCACAGTGTTAAAACGGGGAAGACCTGTATCTCAATCACATGGCACATGGATTCCCAAAAGCTGAGTCTTGCAATGTGCTGAAGTATATTGAAATATCTCAGTACTTGTGCTTACACAATAAAATTTACTTCATCTTAATTTAAAAATTATATCATCTGTTGGCATTTTAGGACATAAAGATGTCAAAAATCAAATCGATAAAGATGGGGGATGCTGTAAGAAGAACATTTATTTATTATAGGACTTTTATTTATTACAAATATCAGTCCCTCAAATGGTGGAAGAAAAATATACATTAGTAGAACTGAGTGTGAAAATAAATCATCCTATTTTAACCTCCTCATTACAGATGAGAACTCTGAAGTCCCAAGAGTGGGAAGGATATAACCAGTAGAAAACAACTAAGTAACAAAGGTGCCCTAAGTGTGAAGTAGACATCTTTTCATCCTCCAGCAAGATCAAAGAATATTAAACTAACAGAATGCTCAACCAAGTGGTCGTAATCAGTTACAGCGTGATGAATAGTATTGTTAGGCTCTCAACTTTGGCCCAGATGCTTTATCAGTACGCTGTCCTTGATGTGGCCAAGTGCATAACCCTCAAATGGAAACACTGGCATCTAGCCTGAAGGTTCTAGAAAGAAACAAACAATTTGTCATGTCTTTCTTTTCCTCACAAGTCAGTTTAATCATCACCACTCTCCACCAGGTTTTGAGGTTTCCAGCTAAGAAACAATGTCATACTATGCGAAATAGTTGCCAGGGCAGCAACATATTAGAAATGCTAATAGTTGAGATAAATCACTTTGATGTCACCATGCAAATGAATTAGAGGATCAGAGGGCAAGGAAGTAAGGCTAGGAGAAACTTTGCAGAGTGCAAAAAAAGTAAAAAGCAATAGGAAGCAATGACTTGCATGGTGAGCCTGGTGGGAATGAGTGAGGTTCCTGGAGCAATAGGTGCTATTCTCTTTTAGTGTTTTACAAGTTTAACTATGGTGCTAATGAGGTCCCAGTTGGGAACATAAGCCCAT